AACTTTTATGTGTAATGCATATACCTAGTTAAACACAAATATCCTAATTGTACTAACTAAGCATGTAACTTTTCGTCAAATATATATTCTTCGACAATAGGGAGTCATCAATCACCTTGCTTTCAAGCTTTGTTTTCCTTTGTCTGACGTGTTGACTGCATCCTCGAGCTCATCGCCCAAAAAAATGAAATCCTTAAATTTTTCACTTTGTCGTTGTAAGAGATAAACTCAGAGTCGAAGAAGAATTTCGCTTACAGTTTCTGAGTGTATGGTCGCTAACATCTTGGTGTTCTGGCTGGTTCAGTCAGCATTCAATAAACCCTGTTACCTGTCTTCTTCTATATCCTAACAAGATTAACTACCCTTACAATACCCGTGTCATTATTTAAACAGACTTGCTATTGATATGAATATATATTTTTTAAAATAATGAGTTATATGTCGAGACCACGTAGAAATTGTTATGAATTGGAAGGTGTGTATATATGTGTATATAATGCATTAAAAGAAAATCACCGTAAGTGGATAGTAAGAGACCTATACCAGGCAGTCAAATTAAATTCTTTCACCTTCTACACCTTGTCAGTAATAGTTTGTCCTTCATTGTAATCATTTAAAAACGGAAAAAAATATGACTTAAACCTTGTTAAAAGAAAATGGGCCGCAATAGTCGATAATATCAACGAACATGCAGTCTCTACTTTTACAGGATTCTCAGCCAACATGATAAAAAAATAATTTTCAACAATATATGTAGATGTAAGGATATTTTCCACCAAAAACTCAGTAATAGATGCAATAATGAGGATAATTCCGTAAAGCATCGTCATTCTGAATGTTATTTTAAGGCCAAGACCTACACATCTAAGTATAATGTAAAGCAGCAAGCTATACAATATCGATACAGCGGCGTATGCACGCAATGTATCAAGGTGTCCATTGGGTCCCATGTTGAAGGCGACCGTGAAATTTTCTGCTTTTGCTACAAATTGCTTTTATAATGCCACTATATCCTATCGTAATTTAATGGTATTCGTAAGTTCCAGGTTAAACTAATTGTAGAAATAAACGAGACCATTCTGAGCGATCTCGACTTAATCAGGAAACTAGTAATTCAATTCCTTTGCTGTCAGATTTGATTTCCCTAGGGGTGTGATGGCAGTATCCTCAAGCTTTTCACTCGAAAAAAAAAAGGAAACTCGAATTTTTCAGTTTTTTGGTTTTCGATACTGTGACGTTTCGTTTGTCAAATGGGTTTATTGTTCAAAATTGCCTTTTTGTCTTGCATCCAAAGGTGTAAAATAGAGATTACATAGATTTACGTTCTTTGAAATTGATTCCCTTGGCTCAATTATTGTAATTTGAAGCTTTAACAATGTCAGGAAATTAATGGTACTCTGGTTCTGCAGCCTTAATATGCTTGAAAAAAATTGAAGTAACAGTAACTAAGAGAATATTATATTTGTTATAGAATTGATACTCATCCATATATGTAAAGGCTTGTAAGTTAACACTGATGTTTTTTTATGAGAAAAGTAGTGAGGAAGTATAAAAATTGCCATTGATTGTCGGGGTGGTCTTTGTAATCTCAGTGTACTTTAAATCTTCTTGGAAACTTAACTTTCTCCGTTATATTGCAACGAATAGACCTATAATAACAAGTTTGATCTTGTTAGTGATAATTCCCCTTATCAATTTATAATTTCTAATTTACGTTTTTTATTCTATTCTATATCCGAAAGATGTTCTTTATATCAGTGAATTGCTTCCTCTAACTGATGACAGTTTAGAGAAAGGATCCAAATCATTTTAATTTTGGTGGTCTTGAGATGAGCAATATTCTAAACGATAAAGAATCGATTAATATAGTAGTGCATGACAATTTCGTATTTTCTAAGATTAACAGTAAGTTTCTAGGCTTCTGAAAAAAAACTGTAATTCCTAAATTCTTCTCCTTCGCCTTCACCACCACTCATTTTCTAATCTTATACATTAAAGTAAGATACCTAATTTATCAATTCCCCTACCTAGTACACCCAGCTAACTGCTACATTTCCTTTCCTCAATATATCCTTCCTCTCTAAAATAAATATCTTGAAACAATAACTGAAAACCTTATTGTATTTTTTCTTTCTCTTCATTTTAAACAATAGAAAACAGTTTTTCGTTATTCCATAATTTGGAACAATGTTCCCCAATGAGGAACATTGTTGATAATAGCTTATATATTTGCTGCTGGCTATTGATAGTTTCTTCGAATTGTTAAATTTTGTTTATCGTATCTTTGTTCAATAAAAGATAATCACAGCAGATGTTACTCCCTTAGTCTCTTTTAACTCAAAATGTGTGATACAGTTTGATGAAACAGTATTTTTTATTATAATACAATGTTTTATATGCATAGCTTACAAGCATTTACATTGTTTGTTAGCTATGGAAAAAATTTTACACTACATAAAAGTTTTGTCCATTGTGGCTATCTTCGATGGCTGCCACAGTTTCTCTAATATGATTGATTGTTAACTAAAAAAGGCTGGCCGTACATTCTTCACACGTTATCAAAACTACAAAAATCATAAACCTTAATATTGTTGTGATAAGAATACGAGGGGATGTGGTTTTGCTTATATTCCATATTCAAGTACACCCACGTAGGATGTCTTCCTCACGGAATATGTAGTCATATTATTTACAATAGACTTCGCATTCCTTTGGCGTAAACTCTTTATTACAATTACCGGCTATACTTATATGATATCCCCAAAAATAAACAACTATCTCATTCTGAAATTTTGAAATCTAAAGGGTGTAAGATTAACTTCATGATTCTACCTTCCTTAGTTGTTTTTATCCAAATGGAATGAAGAACATTTGTTCTTTGTCTAAAAAAAGACAAAACAAGTTCAAACTGTTCAAAATTCTTAACAAAGCTATACCAAGTACTATACTCAGGTCTTTGTGACGTTAAATCGTTACGAAATATATGTATCAGTTACTTTGTTACAAACAAGATGGTTCCTTCTGTTAAAGTAGAATATTTTACGATAAAATGACATCACAAAGATACCAGATTCAATTAGTAGTTTGTAAGCAACCTTTCAAGAAAAGGGTAACCCCGTCACAAACTGCAGAATATTATTCAAATCAAGCATTAAGCCTTAATATTTATTGCAAAATCTACTAGATTGATTTGAATGGTACTTCTTTAAGTATAAAGGTAGCGACAGTAACTGTCTGGGTATTCTAGGTATGACTTCGCAGAGCACTACTCTACTGTTGTCACATACCTGATGGAAATTTTGATCCAAGGCATTTTTTAAGGTATAAAGGTTACTGGTTTTATACTTTATTTGGAAGTAAAATGATTTACTAAAATTTTACGTACACAACGGCTAGTTAATCCTTATGTTCAAACTACAAGGTGCACGTATATTCAAAATGAACACTAAAATAGGGTAGCCAAGCAGAGAACTATACATCAGATAGACGACTAACGTTTTACCAATTATGCTATAATGAACCTTATCCAAATTTTTGCCGTATGTAGCTTTTATAAATATGGTAGGATAAAACCTTACGGGGAAAGGACACATATAACTTAAAAGTTCCAATAGCAAATGTATTAAATGTACTCCAATTACCTCCATAAAGATTATCTATCCAACTTCAACGAATTTTATGCCTTTTAGCCTATCAGATTTGGTCTTTCCAAATCCTCTTGCTTCCCTGATTTTACTCTTCGTTTCCATTTGTGAACTTATGAGGACGGATATATTATTTATTGTTTTATTATAGATGTATGATTCCTCTAGTATGCAAAAAAGTTTCAAAAATGGCTATTGTATGTTTGCGTTATTGTTTCCAAAACTTAGTACGAAATACACCCACAATGGCATGAAGAAAGGAATGATTGTAAGGATACACTGTTTTGAGCAGAAACGTAGTCTGTCTTCTAGATAATCATTGATGACGCATCGTGTACATGAGCCGTCAAGCGTTATTGCGCTCGTTCATTAGTAGTAAGTGATAAAGAATAGTGTAGGACTATATAAACGCTAATGTAATAATCTACGTAGTTTACCGTGCTATCCATTTTATTGTTTTCGACAAGATGCAACCCCACACACCTAAAGACATCCTTCCTATGTGACTAAAAATTGTGTTTGAGTTATCAATTTTCAAGCCTCACAGTAATATTTAATTCTCCGGGGCATTCCTGAACAAGAATGTCAGGATATAAGTATCTAATAGTTAGCAAAAAGGATGTAGAAATAGAAAATTCCTGTGATTGTAGTGATCCCATTGTTTTGATTTTTTCAATATGGATTACGAGACTACTTAACAGTTTTATTGTCAACACTTTTCTCATGCCAAAACGCCATGAACTAACTGAATAAACTTGAAGAGCATACTCTGTTAATTTAAAATAGAACAATATGAACTTTCAGAAACTTAAAAAAACTTCAGAAATTTTCAACTTCTTCATTGAATTTTTAATAGAATATCAGTATATATTTATTTAAGTTAATAACTGTGGTCATTACCCTTAGTCATCTTTCAGACATGGTCTATATTTGTTATTTGTTTTCGTGATTATACATACGTACATTGTTTAAGATGCAACTACAACATTCTTCTGAGCAGCTTAAACAGGAAATGTACTATGTTTAAACCAAAGAAGCACTTTCTTCGAGTAGAGGGATCTTTAGATACTCCATTCAATTCAAATAGATGATTGGTTAAAGCGCATTTAGCAGCATTCAACTTGTTCTTCCGTGGTAGTGTTATGGTATAATGAATTCATTAGACTTCATGTATAACTATAAAAGGGGAGGTATTTTACAAATTGTCACTTGTTATCTATTTATTCGTAACTCTAGTAAAAATGATTTTTCTTGTCCATAGCAATTTATGGGTCTAAATCATAAAACTTCTAAATTCCTTTACTAAAACTTAAATATAATCCTCACAATACGAAGTTTCTGCCCACAATATTAAGGATGAACCTTTGTTATATTATCTATTATGTCGTATGGACATTATTAGTACATGGAGTAAACTGTCAAATGGCCCAATGTAGAAATAAATTCATTTCAGGTACAAATCCTGGTGTGTATTACGAGATATATCCATTGGCATTGAATGGTGTTCCATATAATACCCGAAAGGCTAAATTGAGTACATATCTTTCTACACTATCGTTTTATGGAACTCCAATATACTCAGGCAATGCCCCAGGACTCGATTTCAATGCTCCAGTATCAGTTGGAGAGGACGAAATAGCATATGGAACCATATATGGCAACGAAATCACTGTAACTAACTTTTCCATGGCAGTGGGCGCATGGGTATTAGTTCCAGAAACAGGGTGGTATACGTTTAACATCCAAGCTGATTCTGCAGCTGAGTTATTTATTGTAAACAGCACAGGTGTATATTGTTGTGAAAATCCATATGATAATAGCTTCAATCAGCAATTCATGCTCACTAGTATTCCTTCCGAACCCGATGTAGAGCAGCCATCGGGTCAGGTTTTCCTTTATTCCAATTTCTATTATGAATTACTATATTCATATATCAATCTTAATAGTAGTGCATCATTCAGTGTTGAAATTACTGATCCCTCGGGTAATGTTTATTCCGATATTACACCGTTTGTTATGCAGATGAATGCAAGAAATGATTCAGAAATAGTAACCTGTAACTATGTCATACAAGATTTCTTCAAAACAGTACCTTGGACAGGTACAGCTATTACTACTTTGGCTACAGAGTGGACATATACTACGGATTCTACTGGGGGTGTCATATTACAGGAACTCCAAGTTATTGGAACTCCCAATGAGGATTCAACTTCTCATATATGGTCATCATCACAAACTACTAGTAAATCAATTATAGAGTCGCAAAGTGGATCTCTATTAGCTAACGCGACTAACGAATTCACAGATTTTATCTCGACATCTTCAACCACAGATATCACCAGCGATATTTCTTCAACCTCGGATGTGACTAGTAGTCTTTCTTCAACCTCAGATGTCACCGAGACAAGTTTTCCAACCTCGGGTGTCACCAGCACAGGTTCTTCAAGCTCAGACGTGACAAGTAGTATTTCTTCAAGCTCGGATGTGACCGATGCTATTTCTTCGATAAACACGAAGGAGTTGGCATCAAGCTCTGGTAGCAATATGGAATCAAGTTCAATAGTTAAGGAGTCCTCGATATCATCTGTAAATACATTTGCTAATGAAGGAAGTGATACTAGTCTGAATGGAAATTTTGTCAGTAGGAGTCAATCTACTGGTTACCAATCTAGTTCTATCTTAACTGCTACTAAAACTAGTACGTCTGAAGTTATTTTGTCCTCTGGCGAAAACGGAGTAACCGTAAATGGATCATCTTCTGGTACAGATCAAATTGTATCAAAAACAGAAATTAATGTAAACGCTCTTTCTACCAGTTCGAAAACCTTAAATTCGTATTCGACAGTATTGGAGTCATCCATTTCTAGTAAAGGATTTTTAGGGACATCTACCGAACTCTTCGTCACAACAGTAATATCATCAGACGTAGCTCCTTGGATAGTTTCTGAACCGTCTAGCTATGGTAAATCGATGGTAACCTCAAATGAGTCGAAAATAGGTAATCCTGTAACCATCATAATGTCTATCACAGACTCTGGTAAGCTAACGTGCCCTGGAATGATTGATATTGGAGGTTTCCCAAAAATTTGTGCAACCTCAATTAGGGAAACTGAAGCCTCTATTCAAGTTGTCAGTGTAGATTCTTCACCTACTGAGGATTTGATTGCTGGTACAGATAGGTCCATAAAAACTAGTATCTCGTCGGGAGCAGCTGCTGAAAAATCTACGAAACTGCAAACGGTTAGTGATTCCTCGAATATGTCACTGCAATCTTCCTCCAAGACTCAAGATATATCAAATATTCCGAATATTGCGCCTCCCTTCAATGGAGGATATATTGTGTGTTTAGTTTCTTTCTTTTTGCCTCTGCTGTTAATCTTTTAAGGTTTCTGGTACTGTTACAATTGTTTTGACATTTGTTGACTACGTTATAATCATTATTAATCCCCGCTTATAATTTGGGGTGTAATTCCGTGCACAATTCTTTCATTTGGTAACTTTTGTAACTCTATAATAAATTTTAGCTCTAGTATTGAGTACTTTAGATTGCATCTTTTTTATCTTTAGTTTCGGTTCTTATGGTGTAAGTGCTCCTATACAATATTGCTGTAGAAATAATTATGATGAATACAGGTTATGGTGGATAAGCCTAGTTTTACAAAAAAGTGAAAAATTCGCTCCTCCCCCATTAAAAAAGTTTAATTAGGCAATGCCTCAGCGTGGTCATTATCCTGTTAATGCCCTAATTAATTATACACAATTTCGATAAATTTTCGATCTTTATTACAGCCTGTTCAATGAAATTACTCAAATATCCCTCGAGCATATCTTATCTATTAAGCTCCGAAAATTAAGAATAGGATTTAGCTTTTCTTAAAAACCCATATCTAGCTGCATTATAATCCTTAGGATTTTGCACAAGTGGCTACACAACAAAAGCTAGTGGTAACCTCACATTAATGACGCATAGTTTTCAAAGTCACTTATCATTTGAATTTTTAAAGATAGAAAATTTATTTTTTATTGAACTTACATATTTAATAAATAATGTTATATAAAATCCTAACTCTAGAAATACTTAAAAAAAAAAATGCTTTACCACTATGACTTGGGATGCTAAATGAAATGAATATAATGCGGAATGCGAATATTTTATACTATGACCACTATATGGAATGGAAAAATGGAAAATGCTAAATTACGGATGGAATGGGAAAATGGAAAATGTTATATGACAGATGGAATGGAAATTATGGTTACAATATGGGAATTGGAATGCTATATTAATGTTAGTTTTAAAAAAATCAAATTAGGGAATGGGGAAATTTTAAATTTTTTCTATATCAAATGATAACCACTAAGTTAGTATGGAGTAAATATCTTATTGAAGATAGGAAATTTGGAACCTTGTCTGTTTGGTTATTCAAATAGGAATGGAAAAAAAATTAATCTAATTATACTTACTATCAACAAATCTAGGATCGGATTAAATCAAGGTTGAAAGCAGCAAAGTTCAAAATACATTAAGGTGTTTTGAGGAAAGTCTGCAGTCTTCAATATATTGATGGAAATCTTTAAATACTTTAAAAGCAGATAAAATTTGAAAAAATAATTTCAGGCAAGGGTTTTAAGCATCGTTATCGGATATCTTCTTCTTAAGGTTAACTTTCTTGTTAGTAGTGAAAATACCGAAGATAAACCCCAGGGCATAGAAGCCGAGAGCCATATAGAAGACGTTTTTTATGGAGTCACTTAACATATCACCTAGTTTGGAGTTAGGACCATCGAAGTGCGCAGATCTGTAAGAAACTATGGATTCTGAACTGTTTGGTTTATTCTCTTCGATTTGAATATTGGCGTCAGAAATTTTATTTAAAATAGAGGCGCTAAATACAGCTTCGCAGATCACACCACCAATTGCCTGCCCTAAATTTTTCAAAAAAGAATTTAAAGTAGTTATTGAAACAAAATCTGAACGGTAAGTTGTACTTGTTTCGTCAAGCTCTATCTGAGCACCGATCATTGTACCTTGAATTGTTGCGCCAAAAGCTACACCAGGTAAAATTAGAAGACCGATCTTTTGGGCACTTGTTGCATGGTTATCAAGTAACGTCATCAAACCCGCACCAATGATGCCTGTGGTTACGCCAAATAAAGTAATTGGTTTCACCCAACCAAGTCTACCATTGATAGCACCGCAAATGATTACGGTAAATACTGTGGGAACGACACATGCAATTAAATGAACCGAGGCTTTCCATGGGGAACTATTGAATATTAATTGGAAATATTGGACAACATATATGATTTGGGTCATATAACCTAAACAGATAAAGAAAACAGTGACATTTGCAGTCATTATTCCTCTCCGTTTGATATTTTTCCAAGAGATTAATGGTTGATACTGAATGTTTTGTTTCACTTTACTAAAAGAAGGAAAGATGAAGAAATCATAAATCAAGGATAAGACGATAAGTCCACCACCAAAGATAAATAATAGAATAGTGGAATATGAATTCCAATTGTATCGGTTACCACCAAAAGTGAAACCAAGCAAAAGACAAACAATTCCTGCACTTGACAGGATAAACTCAACAATATCGAATTGAAAGATCATTATATCAAATAAACGATACCAATTGTTTAATTTCAGAAACCAAGCCAATTTAATCGGGGAAATTTTAGAAAATGAAAATACACCACTTAACAAACCGTTTAAGTCAGAACGTTCGTATGGATTGTAGAATACAATGAAAATGACTAAGGCAAGTCCTCCTAATGGAAGGTTGATCCAAAAGCACCATCTCCATGTGACATGAGTAGTGAAGACACCACCCAGAAAAGGACCAACTACTGACGCAATACCAAAGGAGGCACCCATAAACGCAATAATTATACCTCTTTGACGTTCGGTAACAATGGTAGATGCAATAACGAACGTAAGACTTTGGATACCACTTCCACCTATCCCAGCGATAACTCTCCCACCAATTAACGAATTCATAGACTGTGCTGAAGCACACACAATGGAACCAACTTCAAAAATAATTATCGAAATAATCATAGACGGTTTGAAGCCGAAAACTGAAGAAGCCAAACGACCCCAGACTAAAGAAAGGACTGCATTAGGTAAACTATACCCAGCCACAACCCATCCAGTCTTGGAATACGCATGAAACTTCTGGCCGACGTCGTCAATTAAAGTGGTCACAATCATAATGTCTAAAGCAGCCAAAAAATTAGCCAAAGCGAGTGAAAAAGTGCACGCATAGAGAACAACTCCCTTCGGGTATGGTTGACCAAAAGCATTAAGTTCAGGATCAGGAATACCAGAGGTAATCGCGCTCTCAGCAGCAGTTTTAGACTCGATGGAATGCTCAGTCTTGGTGATTATTTCAGATTCTATTTTCCCCATGGATGAAGCCATATGTTGTAAAATAGTAATATTAGTACTTGTACTTATTAACTTGTTTTAAATTGTAAACAAAAAATGGATAAAAATAAGAGAAGGAGAGTGGTTGCAAGATGATATTTACTTATTGTGCTTTTTGTTTATTTATCAATAGTTTGTTACGGATCATTAATTAAATTTTTCCATGTTACTAACAAAAAATTCTCGAAGGAAAAAAAGGTTGCAGCTGGCACGTGACATAGGCCCTCTTTGATGACTTCTCGATACCTTCATAGATTGTTACTTGACCTCTTGGGGTCAAGAGATGAAACTGCCGCTATTATTCTGGAAAAGTATTTAGATTGCAAAACAGACAGCTCATTTTACCATTAATAAAATATCCGTTATCTCTATGATCTGATGAGAATAGCTAGTTATTTAAGTATTTAGAATTCAATTATACATATAAAACTTTGTTTAGCAAAATATTTTTAATATTATAGTACATAGCTATATATAAGTTGAAAGAATGTAAATGCTGACATGTTAAATGTACTCCATTGGAAACTTAATGCAATAGAATAAAAAATGTAAAAAAGAATGCAAATATCACGCTTATCGTGATTTTTTTGAACTGAAAGTTGAAAATGAATAAAAATAAAATGTATGTCCTTCATCTCATCCGAAGTACTTACAAGATTTGGAATAGGAATAGAGATATAGTCATTAAGGAGTATGAATAATATGATTTAAAACCAGCATTTTCAAAATTTATGACACTTTGAGTTGAACTGGTAGCAGTGTATTGGGCTATTGTGTTTGGTGTGCTTACGGTTTGGGTTGATGGGATGTTTGAAATGGAAGTAGGCACCTCTTGAGAGAAAGCTGGAGTTTCGACGGAGACTAAGTTAGTAGTAACTGATTGGGAATTCCCAGAAGGAACCAATGTTGTAGTAGGTCCCTCACTTGCGGAGGTAGTAGTTGAAACTCCATTGGAAGGTGTTACACCGGTCTCAGTTGAAATTTTAGAAGGGTTAACAAAACTTTGAGTTGTTGGTACATCTGCTGAAGAAATAGAGCTTTGGTAGATGTTAGTAAAGCTTGAAGATTTGGATGTTACCGTGGTTGTGGCGTGGGCAGTAGTTGGTGGTAAGGTAGTAGATATCGTCGACTTTTCCTCCTCATTAGATGTTGATTTGCTTTCCAGACTTGAGGCAGAACTTGGAGTTACAGAGCTCGGAGCAGCAGAACTTGGAGCAGCAGAACTTGGAGAAACGGATGGTTCACTGGATTGAGCAACAGAGCTTGAAGAAACGGATGGTTCACTAGATGGAGCAACAGAAC